TTTCACTTATCCAGTACGAAGTACTCAACCACATCTTTTCACGCCTGGTCTAATGCGAAACGAAACTTTATATAGATGTATAAATTGACTGAAATTAAAAAAAAACGTTAAAATCTGATCACCGCAAAGGTGTTCTTAATGTTGACAGAAGACATGCAGAATACGGATTGAAAACGCATTGATTGAAATGTAAAGAATCCCTTTCTCTTCATGCCTTGTCTAGGATAAATCTTTGTATCTGATAACTAACCGAGTAGAGCTCAATTATATCATTTCACGCCTGGTGTAGAATAAATCTTTGCATGTAATCACTGATCCAATAATGTTCAGAGGTACACCTTTAATAAAAAATATATTTTTTCAACAGAATTTATTATTTTGTTAAGAACAAGATGTTTAATCCTTTTAATGGGTGTATCAGATATTTATATAACATTTTTGAAGAAGTTTCCCATTATATCACAAAAATAATATTTTTATCCATATGCCGAGAAAAAAAACTGCCGAATCACGCCGTATAAAATTATATAACATTTTGAATAAGTTTTCCTATTATATCACAAATGTAAAAAAGTTTCGCTATAAACCCTGAAAATTGCTGAGTCACACCGAAAACAGTTATGTCACGCTGGAAACAGGTATGTCATCTCCGACGGAAACAATTTTATATCATGCTTTCGATCACGTTCACAATGTTCAATAAATTTGTTTGATGATTGATTTTGGTCCAGTGCTTAAAAATGTTATATAACATATATTACATGGCTTAATTCTCGGGCAGCAATACCAAAATATTTGCCCCTCGGTGACGGGAAAGCTCTGCCCTAGGCATCGGGCGACATAACACTCCGGGGATTTCCTGTCACATTGGGGCAAGATTCTGGCACGCTGTCCTCGAAGCCATGTAATATATGTATAATATAAACTCTCATGAAAACTAATGTTTAAAAAAGCGGGAATTAACTTTGTACAGTAGTAGATAAAATACTCCAACAAGTTTATGTATTTGAGATGTGTCATGAGGACTGCTGGGGTACAATTCTGCATGATACCTTAAAATGATATATTTTTAAATGACTGGATTTCATCAAATCTGAAGGAATTTTCTTACCTGTTGTTTGTATCTGTATTTCCAATTGGCATTCAGGGTACAATACGAGATACAATGTCAGCTGAAGAGAAGCAAAAACCTTTTTGAAAAAAGAAATATATCTTAATAAAGATTATGAAGAAGAGTATCAAAGTTAAAAAGTAAATAAGAACAATACGAAACAGGAACAATACAGATACAAACCTTTAAAATATCATGTATGGGATCAGGTGCCAAACGGAGGACTGGGCATCCCCTAACGATCGGTTAAACTTGCAGTATGCTTCATAACAGGATCAGTAAAGAACCCTACTGAAATATAACTTAACAGGCTAGAATTTATTTAAATGGAAAGATAAAACAGCTTTAAAATATTGTTTGTGTATTTTTCAGCCCAGGTTCTTGGTAGAGCAAGATAAGACCTCCACGTCTGTACCTTACTAATTTTCTTGGGGTGTATAACACAGGCACTTGTTTCTGTTATATATTTTTGACCCATCGTAAGGTAACATAAGGTATTTAACTCCGAATTACACTCAGTATTCCCCTTCTAAGAAACCCTCTCATTTAAAATTTCAGAGGAAATGGCAATATGTTTATTACCATTGTCTTCTACGATAATTTATTGTTCTCGTTTATATCCGTAGATGCAGATGTTTAGCCAATCAACATCTTTGTGTGGCATTCGCAGATGCCGTTTCATGGTTTAGTTTAACTTTTCCACTCAGCGAGCAGGGTTTTGGCACTGTTTACGAAGATAAACGAAAAAAAGACATGCATTTTCGAAACAAGTGCATGTGGTGTATAGTACATTTTTGCCTGATTGTATTTCTAATAAAGCTGTTGCAACACAAACTTTGATCTGAGAAATTCAAGAATAAATGGGTTTTTTATGTCAGTTATTGATAATTGATAGATGATCTGAAAAATATGATGAAAAAGTGGTAGTGTGAAATGTAAGACAATGTACCTGTTCCTTGACATTATTCTCTCCTATGTTATGAAAAGTAAAACTTTGCTATCAATATATTTTCATGAACAAATTTTGCTACTTGTGTGAAAAATGAACAAACCTTACCTAGATGCCACTTCCTTTCTTTAATTTAGCTCTGAGACCAGACGGTTTTTTTGTTACGACGGGGTGTTCAATATTTAACGCTCGTATTCGGAATGTTTCGGGCATACTCGTATACGTAATACAATCTCAGCAATCAAAAAAAGGTCAAGAAATTGGACGCTAAAATTATTTAGATTTTTGGGAGCATTTTATTAGAGATTATTTATTAGATATATAAATCCGCTAATTGTCTAGCGATAGATTTCGCATGCATTCACCTAGAATGGATTTATACATATTTCTGTAAATAATTGAATCCTATGCAACACTTACTTTTCCATTTCTATATAAAAAAATCTGAAATACTAATGTACAACCAAAATGTAATCGAAAAAACGAAAAATATCTTACCTGATTCGGTGCCTTTATTATCACTAAAATTGATTATCAGAATAGCGTATAATATAATTCACAATATGCTAAACATTATCCCTTAATTGAGAGTGAGCTGATTGGTATTATTTTTTCTTTTATATCGTTTAATCAAATCATTTTTTACAAATGATATTGCTTTGAATTTTGAGTATTGTACAAATGAATGCCTTACCTTAAAGGTAACCAAGGTAAGCTTGAGGTAAATAATTTTCTCTTTGCACAAAAAATCATGACGAAATAAGGTAGTTTTGTATCACTCTTATAACCGATCAATAAGACAAACTGAATTTAAATAAGAAATGATTTCATTCGAGTTCAATAGTTTATTTTTTATTAATTTTCTATCCATCCCATTTTGTGGAAAAAGAAACATACCGTTTACATTAAGCGTTTTAAGTGATTGGTTAATATTTAAATGCACTTCCTCATTCTCTCTCTCTCTATCTCTCTAGTTTTAATATAGCTTTCTTGATTTCAATTTAATGAAGATTTCTTTTTTTTTATTCTTACCTGGTACAAAGGATGTAAACTGCATTCTAATTATTTCCTTTCCAACATTTAACTTATCAGACTGTACTATTGCCCAGTTGCAAAACACCGGAATATTGTATATTTTACAATGTAATAGAGCAAAACCTTCAGATTGTCGTATTTAGTTTAAGATCTACAATTCTACGTGCATTTTCGTACAGAGCATGAGATTCCAAAGCATATGTGAAAAATTTTGGCTTGTATTGTCTTTTGTTTTGTTTTCTTATTACCATAAAATGCTGTCAAATACAAAACACCATATACATGTATTATATAATACTTAATTTCTTAATACTTAATAGTGTGCTCCTTGTCAGGATCAGGAAATAGCGGAAAAAAATCGGTCGTCAATTCAGTGTATAAATAATGGACTAACAATTGGTATGAAAAACATGAGTCAGCATTTGATTCAATGATAAATTGTATTTGCCGACAACGTCATTGTATCTACCATATAGAGCTTACAAAATGATTACTTTAAACGAGACTGCTGATATTCTTGTTTCATCATTAACATATGTTTTTGTTGAAATTTTTCTTTCCTCATTTCACCAAAATAAATATCATTATAAAATTAAACCGGTATAAAAAGAATTCATAGTGGTCAAATCTTAGTATTATTTGTTTTTATATTTCTTCATTTGAAATACCCTAGTACACAATAATTGATCTGATAAAAAAGTGTTTTGTATGTTAATTTTGTTATATGAATAAAATACGTTCCTTTTTAGATTAAAGATATCGAATTTACTTATCTATTTTAAAAAAATATCAAAAAACGCACGCCTGGTTGGACAAATAAAAATGCAATATCAAAACCTTTTAAAATCCATTTTGTGACGATCAAAACAATATTGATAACCAAAGTTTTTTAATCAAATCAAACCACCAGCAAAACTGCATTTTTCCCATTCACAACGCAATATCAAACTTTAAGAAATTGTATGAAAACATACTGTGGTAGCCGTTTTTAAAAGTTTTTTTATTGCTACGTAGAATTTATTTTAGTTTTCGCTTAAGTTTCAGAAAACAGTTGCTAAATCCCTTCTTCCTCGAATTAAATCTGAATAAATTTCTATCTTGTAAGCTATGGAATGCCTTTTCTGTCTGCAAAGAATACAAAGTATCCAGGAAGCAATTTTAACATATGCAAATCAAATTTTTAGATTTTCATAGAAAATGGCATATTATGATGGTACCATATTTGTAACAGCAACCAATATTATGGCTTAATATAGGACCAATATGAATCTAACTTTAGCTCTTAGCTCATAAAAAAAGTATTCATGACTTAAAGCTAAATGATATTATATATATATAGTACAGTTGAGTGTAACATTTATTTTCACCTCAAAAGCATTGTCAACTGATGGACAGCCGAGGTTGCCAATGGTTAAGAGTGGCGAAAAATGGTGATGTTAAACTCAACTACATGGAATATTTATCATATTAAAGTAAATGTTTTACACGTCAAATACATATTGCAGTGAGTCTTGCGCTCATACATTCTGTGCAGTTGATGTTTTTAGAATATCGCTCGTCGTCAAGCAATGTTGACTGTTACTAAGCTGCAGCTGGAGGGCGAGGTTTCGTTTTTCAGTGATAATGATGTTTCTTTTTAAGAATTGTTTCTCGACGAAGCAGATTCAGCCAATTTATATGAAAGTTTAATATTTATAAATACACATGATAACATTAGTAGATTAGAATACGTGCTTCAATTATTGTTGTCTTTCTCAACTTATTAAACATTGATGTTACTTTATGTTGAATACCTATAGCTACCCGACCTTTCAACTTCAGTCCAAAAAGAGCTTGCTATATTGCCTATTATATGATAAGTTGCCTATTATATGATATGTTGTCTATTTTAGGATATGTTGTTTTTCATAGGATATGTTGTCTATTGTATGATATGTCTATTATATGATATGTTGCCTATTATATGATATGTTGCCTATTATATGATATGTTATCTATTATAGGATATATTGTCTATTATAGGATATGTTGTCTATGAGGATATTCAGGCAAATCAATGAGAGTTCATTTTACCTGAAATTTTCTTTGATGGTGTTGTTGCTGTAGTGACGTCACAAATCATGTCCTCTGGGGAGACATCCTGCAACAATACTCCTGTCAGATTATTGGGAGATGAACATGTCGGTTCAGACCAACGTTCTAACAGCAAGTTTTTTGATTGGGCAAACCTGACAAAATCGGCCATGATGCAGTCACAGTGCAGAGGATTCCCTTCTACAAACCTTCAACAAATAAAACCATTATGATTTAAATGTGCTTAATTGAAGAATTATAGCGTCACAATCATTTCTGAAATTTACATAAAGCAATCAAATTACTTTGTGAAATAAAAAAAAAAGAGAAAATATATCAACTATGTTAAGCTTGTCGATATAATAAATTCTCGAATAGTTTGAAGAATTATGTATACTACATCCTTACAGTTTCTCTAATTTTAAAATTCCCAGGAAAATATCTTTGTCCAATACGGTAATGCTATTGTTATAAATGTACCTACAATAATGCAAAATATATCTTATCATTTGACAATACATATTTATATTCGTGTATTTAAATTTACATTTTAAATGTTAAGTTCATGATGATTTTTGCATTAAATATGTTTACCCTTCATATCCATGCTACAAATGTATTATTTATTTATTCATTTTTAAAAATAATTCAAATACAATACTTCCGAAAACCCGAAACTAAATTTTCACACTCTTTGTGCACAATTTGAAAATATATTTCCAATAAATCGCTATGAAAAGATAATGATAATATAATGATAAAATTTTTGTTCGTATTCTAGTCTCTCATTGGTTGATGTCCATAAAGGAACGCAAATTATTTCTTAATAACCTGGTTTAGGTATGGGGACACATTGACAACCAGCTGAATAATTTGTATCCATACATCCCCTCATTTCCAGTCCTGTATAGATCTGTATATCAGTTATTACCTCCCCTTGTTTCATATCACTTCCGTTACTAGGGATGCATTATTTAGCAACAAATTTCATCTCATAAAAATCAACACAATTTTACAACCACAGTTGTTAAATTATTTTAAAATTAAATTATACGCTTCGCGTATTATAAAGCGTAAACTGTCCCAAACCAGGTTATCATCGAATAATTTGGCCAAGATTTAGAGTCATTCCTTAAATATTTTATTTTTTAAAAAGATTTTCCGATGACTTATTTCTTCTTATTATTTTAAGTATTTAGTTTCGAGCCCCCGTTTGCACAAAAATAACTTTTTTGTCACAGGGTTTGATGTGAATTAAGCTTACAAAGAACTGTTTATTATTGAATCATGGGAATCTCTGCCCTGTCTTTAATATGCCTTACTTTAAGTCGTTGGTATATTTATAAATGTATTTTTATGTCAACGTTAACTAACACTTAGTGTCAGTATACCGTTGATGTAAGTGTAGTAAATGTAATATTAAAGCGGTTGAGAAAATTGTTTGTGCTCATATACTTATTCGAAAATTCAACAAGTAGAAAAATGGTTTAACAAATATCCTAGAAAAGTCTTGTGTAAATAATATTTACCTTCAAATAAGGATCTTAATCAAAACATGTTAACAAAGAAGGATATGGATATAACGAACAGTATTCAACATCAAAGTACATAAAACAATACAAACTAGGAGCAGACCAAACATGGACCTTCGAAACATTAGAGGTGGGATCAAATGGTATGGAAGAGTGAGCATCCCCTGCTGACCAGTCACAACCGCCATGTGCTCCTTGTTATGCACGGGAAATAACAGAAAATCCATCGTTTAATCAGTAGATACATAATGGAATTACGATTAGTATGAAAAACATCAGTCAGCATTTGACTCAATGATGAATTTTATTTGCTGACAAGGTCATTGTATTGACCATGGAACTTACGAAATTATGACTTCAAACAACACTGCTAATATTCTTGTTTAATCAATTTTCTTATCAATAATTTACTTCGTTTTAGAAATTGTTGATGCATAAAGCATTCTCTTGTGTATCGAATCAACTGAGATTTATACACTCAGTATGCTGGTGATAAAGGTATATTTCTGCATTAGTTAGGGAAGTTGACGATAGAAAATACAGTTAAACACCCAATTTTATGTTAACGCCCCCAAAATCTACCTGATTCAAGATCAATAATTTACCGCCTGTCAGTCATAAAAAACAATAACTTCTGATTTGATTGACAGGTCAGCTACCTGTGCTTCTTGATGATCTGAGTTTGCCATGTTACCTGGTCACGCGTCAAACTCTTTCATGTACCCGCATAGTATACACGCGGGTTAGAAAACTCCAATATGTTTGAATTTTATTTAAGAAAATAATTGAAAGTAGATTATTAAAACATTGACATTATAAAATATTTCTTTTCTATCTTCACTGCTGTTTGTTACTTGTAAGTGTTATATCGTCCACGTTATCTTTAGAAAAAAGACCGCGTCCACAGAAACCGGCTTTATTTGCCGTAATTGGAAGTCCGACGATTTAAAATATTTTTTAAGAAATGGGATATATATAAGAAAAATATTCAGCACTAATACACGGCATAGCATAGTTTTAAAAAGATGTTTTATTTTGTACTATGGCTACGATCCGCACGATGTTGTACAGAGATTGGTGTCAGAATTAATACTCGAATTTCCTCCCCTCTGTATATAAGTAATGAAAATGTGAAGATAATTAATAGTGATCGATTCTGAAAAGAAATCTTTCCCACAATAAAATTTTGTTAACACACAAAGAATCAAAAATATGGAATATTTTGGACAACATTGTTTGCCAGGGGAAAAAAAACATTCCGATCGCGGTAAATGCATGTTCACATGCACGACGGATAGGTGGATTAATATTTTTTTAATTTCAATATTCAGACCTTTTTAACCAACGCAGGGGGAATAAGGAAGCATACAAAATATTCTACCTTGACTAAATCAGTGCTATATTATGACGTCATAGTAGGCGAGATGACGTCAATTTTAGAGCACAAGTTTTCGTATTATTGGTATTCAGAGATGTAATTTAATACAAGAAAATGAATAGAAACGTTTAAACATTAACAAAAGTAAAATGTTCTTATTTTGTTATGCTGTATTCTGTCATTTTGATTAAAATCTACGACCGATGACGTCATTTGTATACATCAAGTAACTTGGGAATTCACCATGTCGTGTAATGAGAATATGGCTAAGACGGCATGTACAAAGATACGTAAAATGGAGTTTAAAAGCAAATATTGAGAAAATTATGTGAAATTCAAATGGAGATCAGCTTATTTAACAGGTATGTTAATCTATTTTCAACGATTATATTTTCTTTCGAAGACAGTCAGCTATATACGTATCTCGGTCTGCCTTTCCTCTGTCGTTCGAGACAAAAATAATGCCACAGAACAACAATAAGCTGGATATTCCAAAACATAAGACTTGTACAGATTGAAAGTTTGCCTTCTAAAATATTTGGAAAGTGCTGCTAGAATCCCGAGTTAAGAATGGTTTTACAAAAAATCTCGGTTGATATGTATCAAATTGAAAACATTGGGTGAGGTTTCTTGCGAATGCGTATAATAATTATTTTTACTGACTGTACAATGGGATTCTAGCAGCACTTTTAAGGAAGAATAGATGTTTTTTGACTATATTATTTACTCAAAGAAATTATCAATCTTCGGAGTATTGTTGTTCTGTTCGCTTTTTTATTAAGGAACTTTTCGCTATAAATAGAAGTCACGTGATGACGTTGATGTGGCGCACGTCTTTGCGTTAGACGCTCTTTTATCTTTATACAATAGTTGATTAGAGTTTACGTTTATCAGCGGTCTTGATAAATTATCAAATTTAATTTTCTTCAAAAAGTCTAAATTTCCCGAGAAATTATTTATATGCTTCCTTAAGATACCCGCGAAGTGATTTCTTTTATCGAAGATTAAAAAAGATAGATATTATGGATTTGTAGTTTTTACTCGTGATTTGTTTCTTTTATGTAAGGAAAACATTTTCTAAAACGATCAACATGTATCTTATTATTTTTTTTCCTTCAAAACATTACGATGATTACGATGAATGCGTTAAGTTAACAAATAAATTTCATATTAAAATAATTATTTTACGTAGTTTCACTCAAAACCAGACACAAAACACGTAATGATGACCCCGATTACCAAACAGAGACTTCCTGTGTAATGCTACATATACACAGATTTTTGACATCTTGGGTATTGGGGGTCTCTAGGTAAATAACACCACTGTTACTTCGACCACTCTCCCTCCTCAGGTAACCGTACGGTAAAAAAATTGGGTCTTCAATGTATAGCAAGTCTTGTCCAGAAAGTCCTTATAGTATGTTGAATGGATAACCATAAAAAGGTTAACTTAATTCCTCATCTGGTAAATGTATTTCTGATCCAGCATCCGAGGCAAATCCATTTGTTTGAATCCTTAGATTATCATCGCTGCAAGTTTGGTGAACATAGGACGTATAGTTATGTCACTTGGAAATGAGACCTGATCAAAAAACTTTAACAAGATTCAAAACATTAATTTATTGTTTCATGAGCTAAAATTACATCATCTGAAACTTGACTGGTATAATGAAATATACTAGAGAAATCTCCCATCCATTTCTGATTAATATTAGGCATAGAAGAACTAAAATAGAATTCTACTCAAAAAACTTTATCAGGAAACGCCTTTCTCTTTTTGTGAATTTTACTTTAGTAACTGAAAAAAAACTTGGTCCTTACTTCGGGATTCACGAATTAAAGAAAATTTATTTCCAATGAACTCTTCAACATTACTGATTAATTCTCGAATATCATGTGTAGACCAAGTTCATCATTCTTCACCAATTCGACACAACATCTTACTAAGTTTAAGTAAACATTTAGCGATTTTTTTTATGATTGTGTTATAATGAATCAAACAATTGTTCATTATCTACATTATTACTGGATGGGGTAATATTTGTCAAGGAAATTCGTCAAATCTGATAAAACACAGTGTATTGCTCTAACACTTATCAGTGACTTTGGATTTTTAAAACCATGAACAACATAAGCAAGGGAATAATGCGCACATGGCCTTCATATCAATATTACTGATGAAAAACATACATATTTGATTTATTGAGATATACATTTTTTAAATTATTTAAATTTTACAAGGATACAGATTACTTACAGTGACTGTAAATTTGGTAAACCATTAAAGGCATTGCTCTGAATTATGCTTATCTTGTTTCTACTTAACGATCTGCAATAAATAAAAAAAAATCCATTTAGCTACTTGAATTTAAAGCAAACAGTTTCTTTACTCAAATATGGCTAATTACCTTTTAATATTACATCTTTTGTTTAAAATCGACAACAATAACAACAGCTGAGAAAACTGACTTTGAATGGAGAAAATAAAAACGTGATCCTGATCGTTCACTGAAAATCAAGACACGAATGCCATGTGTCTTCGATATTCATTTAGTTCTTCTCAAAAAGAGTGTTTATATTTGTAGCAAGAAGACTTGAAAAAGGAAAGAAGAAAAAGGAAAAATAGTGTTGTTATATATAATGTAAATGAAAAAAAACATTTTATAAAACTTTAAATAACACTTTGTTTTAGGACACTTAAAGCTGAACACTACGAGTTAAACAGCATAGTCCGCCATATTTCCCCTTCTTCAAACACTTATAAAACCCCTATAAAAGGAGAAGTTCCAATGTATTTCGCTTTAGAGACCGACAGGTGTAGTCGTACATCTTACACTGTCGTGCTACTCGGTTGCTATAAAATTATCAATTTTTATGTATTATTCCAAAACAGGGCAAAATTACCATGAAAAATACAAGTCGATGCCTTATTTACGTCAGACAGAAATTGCAAATAAAAACAAGAAATGAATTAAGTGACTGACCTAGCCGCTTTGGTCAAGGTCAGCAGTGGAACATAAATTTCTCTTCTTGAATTGTCAAACAGTATACACTGAGTATGAATGTACGTAATATTTGGAGTAAGGTTCCAAATATCAAGAACCATGTAGATTCAGTTTGGGGAATTCATAAAATACTCATCCAGTCGCCTTATAAATCACTATTTCAACCCAAAAATACCAAGAAGTATATATATATATATATATATATATATATATATATATATATATATATATATATATATATATATATATATATATATATATATATATATATATATATATATATAATTGATATTTGAATCTATTATTCAAGAAAGACGAGAAAACATGTCTTTAAGAAAAAAAATTAAATATGTATATATATTAATAACTTTGAAAGGTATTTGCTTATTTGTGAGGAGATATACTGATCTCCTTCTCAAATCTTATCACATATACTACAAATTGTAATAAAAAAAATAGGCCAAATGAAAAAAATCTTAATATAACGAAAAGTAATCATGCCCAAATAATAATAATAATAAATAACTTTGAGCAGATAAGACATGACTCTATAAAATCAACAGATAACTGATCAAGGAACTTAGAGAAGGTACAGGAGACGGATATGTATACTTACAGTTCCTGTAAATTTGACAAACCATTGAAGATATTGGTCTGAATAATGGTTATCTCGTTGTATTCTAACCACCTAAAACAAATTTTTGAAATCAACAAATTTCTTTTATTCCATTTATGATAAATAGTATACACTATCTTTTCTACAGACATTAAATGTACAGACCAATTTATGAATGTGATTTACGAACATTTACCATTTTGGAGAATCAATTGATGGTGTAAATCTATTTCATTTTTTTTTTCTTATCCCAACTTAAGGTTCATTTGAATATCGATGTGTAACACACAGTATAGGCATTTGATGTTTCTTTTTACAAAAAATTTCTAAATGGCCGGGTTTTTGATTTATAAAAATTCTCTCGTTTTTTTTCCTGAAAATTACCCTGATTTCAGCCTATTTTGCCAAAATTTTCGTTATGTACAATTGGCTACATAACGTACCGATTAATTGTCTATATTATTGTGATATTATGAAATCTATTATTACTCATTAGTTTTTATTTATTTTTTTCATATCGATTTGAGATATATAATCGTAAAATTTGATCCACTTTAAAGTTCTATTGCGCATCTAGATTGAGTTGCCTGAGTAAAATTTTATTCTATAATTTCATTGGCTCTTTCCTTTGATTGGTTATTTCCAATTTTTCATCCAATAATACATTTTCATTATCAGTATAAATTTGCCGCGCTTTACCTATTTATGTCAGAGCAGTATTACGTTTTCAAGAAAGAAGTATATTTTAATCTAGTGTCCATCATTCGCATCTTATGGTATGTAACTTGTATATTTATTTATGTGACTTCATTTACGTAATTATTTTAATTGCAAACTTTTCACTTATTGTATTTTTGCATTCAAAGTTAAAACATAAATAATGAGTCTTCAAAGATTTCAATTTGATTTGTGTACAGTACAAATTTTTTCATCGAGTTTATTTTTTCTTAAACGTATACTGAATGTAAATTATCTTATGTTAATTATTTTCACAATCTCTGTAATTTTGACTTTTTATGTACATGTACTTTGTTTATTTTAGATCAATGCCCTTATTTCCTCAAAAAATTATGAAAACAAGATCTGCCTTACTGCTCGGTTACATTATAATTTGTACATTTACGATATAAATATTGTTTTGTTCTTCTTTAATTAAAAACAACACAAATATGCAATCAAAAACTCTTTACAACATAGATGTCGTTCTCAGAGCCTTACTGGTCAAAGAAGAATAACTCTGAAAATGTGGGTTTGTTTTCCTCCCTTTATTCACTGTTTTCTGCATACATTTATAGAATCAGATACATTTACAGCAAGACATGATAAATTCGAAAATTGAATACTATATAGCTAATACACACAATGTGAGAATAGCAATTGGAAAGGAATTGTTCACTATAGTACTCTAAATATCTAAGTTTATGAATATGCAGTAAATCGTTTGACTTTCTGTCATTGTCATCAATTTCGATTCGTATTTCCTCGACTCAAAACAAAACGTATTGAATATTAATGAACGCATGAATTAATATAGATTAAAATAGATGAAGAATTTATTGTGTGATATATATATATATTGAAGCTAATGTGGACGAATACGGAATTTTCATTCTATCTTTAGAAACAATACGGGTATATATTGTGAGGGGTGTGTTGCATATATTTTTATGTATCCCCACGGCCACACACTGCATTGTTTGAAAAAATGACATTTAAGAAAATTTAATTATTTCATTTATATCTCAGGAGAATTGATCATACAATTTAAATAAATAATATAAAAATTAAAAAAATAAATTAAAATTCAACATGTTAAACATAAGCTGAATTCGTATCAAGGTATGTGATATTGAATTTATAACACATACATATATGGACTAAACACTTGAATATAAAACCCTGCAGTAAATTTTCTTGATACATAAAAAACAGTCGACAATATGTATTATGCATTCATGGACAAACTAGTGTGTACTTCAGGGATTCATATGACGAAGCATATCTGCACTGTAACCGACGTTTTGTCAAACACTAATGGTCTGCGACACAAAAGAGGAAGGGGTGGGGTTGGAGGTGGGAATTAAAAATTGCCTAAAAATCAACCTTTGAATACGCTTTACATTTGAGAATTCTGATATTTGTAAGTTTTAAATATATTTTAAAAGCAAAAGCAATATTCCAATTTTGATTTTTAAAAATTGTCATTATTCGTAAATTCACAGCATAGTAATCGACCCAAGTCTGAAAGGCTCGCCAAAGTGATTTAGGGAAAAGAGGGAAGGGGTAATTTTCCACTATGAAACAGGTCGGAGAGAATACTCGAAATCGTGTATTATCCGTGAAATCGCGTATAATACCCAATATTAGGGTATCGTTGAATCCTCGAAATCGTGTATAGGAGGTGTAATCACCTAATAAAACGTATACAATGGGATGGCGCATGTTGCCGAGTTAACTTTCATCTAGATACAAATGTTTTCTAAAGATATCACTAGCTAAGTAAGAATAAGGGCGTCAAGATTAGGACATGTTACCTGTGGAGCTCAGTACATTTCATGATCTGCATACAAAAAGGCCTTCCATTTGCTTTAAATTTTTCATAATGTTGAAAGTATATGCATCTTCCTCATGTTCATTCCCAAAACAACAGAATTGTAAAGTATAAGAATTCGGGATTTTATAATAATTCCACAACAACACGGCAAACATGAACAATTTGTAAATAAATCAAATTATACGGAAATACATTTCACACACAAGATACAATGTCATGTATAAACGAATAAGGGATTGTCTGTCGTATCTAATTTTGCGTCATTAATTACTTTCACATTCATCTTGTGAATAAAATCAAACTTATTTATAAATGTATCAATAATGTAATGATAAAAGTGTCTAAAGTTTCGGTTAAAAAACGTCTTTCTCTTTTTTTGAAAACATTTCATTAGTGTTTTATCATACATACATATTTGCAGAATATGTCTTCAATATTTTAGCAGATACAGTGATAGTTTCAGGAATACAGTTTATGGGAGAACATAACTGTTGATCGTTTAATTTCGCTAAACCATAAATATTTTACCATTTCTTAGCGACTTCAAAAGGGGGGGGGGGGGGGGGGCAAAGGCTTCTTGACAACCTCTGACAAAACAACCTCGACTGTGTTCTGCATGTGTCCAAGAGACCTATCCTTTCACAATTATTGTATTAAATGTTAATGTAAAGTCTTTTTGCTATAAGTCTTTGAATGTTACGGTCGGTTAAGTTCGATTTTATATCTTTAATTGTAGGGAAGATTTATTTATCAAATAAAAATAATATAGGTGAACAAAAAGGAACGTGTTATTTTCTAACACAATATGATACTAGAAGTAACTAAAATGCATGTTTATTTTTTAACACACTTTTCATTATAGAGGGGTATTAAGAAAAGTTATTGCCATGAGTAATACATTGCAAGTATTACAGATAAAATAACTAAAAGAAAACTGTGACATATATGTCTAGAACCAATCAGATAGTGCGTTGTATAGCATATTATAATGAGGTTTTTTAAGATAGCGATATAAAAAATGCGTATAAATATAGACAACAGAAGAAAAAATCTACCCTGTCTATCAAATAATATAATAAAGAAAGGAAGTGGCTACAATTTTT